GCGTCGATTGAAATGAAGATCCTCGAGTTGTTGTACGCGGCACTTAACGGAATCTGGAACTTGCTTGAATCGATAAAACGAACTTTCACCACTTAGAAAGAGTTTGCGGCCATGAAGAGTTTATGGTCGTGAACTGGGTTTACGGTCTTTGAAGATGGGCCGTAAATGGGTTTACGGTCTTTGAAGATGGGTCGTAAATGGGTTTACGGTCTTTGAAGATGGGTCGTAAACGATTTTACGGTCTTTCAAGATGGATCGTAAACTCAAGAACAAGGGTGCTGATTTCGAAGAGAAATGTGTTACAGATGCCCCGAAATAACTCTAAACGGTGTTTCTCGGTGTTTCCTCGAAGATTGGAGGCCTTCTAGGTGTTTACGGTCAAGAGTTTTAGAGAGAGAAAGAGAGAGTTTTCGGTCAAAGGTGTTCAAATGAGGGTGGGGGTCTCATATATATAGGGGTTTTGTGGTCGGTGGGTGGGGTCCACCCGACACTGGCCGCAAACGAGTTTATGGCCGTAAACAGGTTTACGGCCGTGAACTCCAGTCAGGCCGTGAACATGATGCTTTTCGAGGATAATTCGAGTTTTGCGCAGTTTTGGTTCCAAATTGCATACGTAAGTTTAATTATATAATACCAGATGATTTTCTAAATCAAAGGTTCGGCGGAAGATTAATAAAATTTCAAATTTCATTAACGGAAATTGCATGATGGAAACAGAAAAAGTTTCGGGTTGTCACATCATGGCTGATACCTTTCCTGCATAATCTTCTATGGTTTCTGTTTCCTTTATTTGGAGTGCTTCAAACTCACTCTTCAGTACCCAGAGTCTTTCCTTTTGGACCCTTTCTGCACCCACAAACCGTGACTTTAGAGAGTCCCAAACCTCCTTGGTTGTCTTCTTCTTGGAAGCCTGTGCAAGTATCTCCTCTGGGATAGATTGGAAAATGAAAGCTTGAGCATGCTTGCTCTTTTTCTCATCCACAACCACTCCGGTTGGTGGCTCGATGGCATCCCATAACCCATGGGCATCCATGATGGCTTCCATCTTAATCGACCAGGTATTGTAGTTTAGTGAAGTCAACATCGGGCATTGAAGAGTGAGGGGGCTATCTTTGGGCTGATTTGATGATTATGAGGCTGTCATATTGTTGAATCGAGGATACTTAGGAATGCAAGTGATTAGGATCTGTTTAGCTCTGATACCAAATGTTGGGGATCAAGCAATGGAACAGTAAACAACAAGGAATTAACAGGGGTAAAACTGGAAATAGATAGTCGAATGATTACTTCTTTATTGAATGAAGAATAGCAACCTAATGATTGAGTTGTTGTACAAGGAAATTTCGACTGATGATTTGTAACATCTAAACTATGCTATTTAAACTACTAAAATTAACAGAAAAGAGAAATAATAGGAACAGTCCATTTTTCCAACGGTCATGACTGTCATGTGCTTTATTTTCTTCCTAATTACCAGGTCAACCTTTGACCAACAATTGCAGCAGTCTGTAGAGGTTAAAAACAAACAAACTTTTTATTACATGCTGCAGCCATTTGGTCATCCTCTTCTGCTACAAAGAGGTGGTCCACAGACTTCATACATTTTCGCTTCGAAAAAACAAACGACACATAAATCTCAAACCATTATACACAAATTAATTTATTTTGTAAAGGTTTTGGAAACCCGTTCACAAGAGTATGTTGGCTAATATTTTTATAAAATCCTTATGTGGAATGAAACAAGAGTATTTTGGGTAAAAAGTTAAAGTTGTTGGACCCATTCCAAGTTAAGATTGGGGGAGGGGATAAAAATATATACCTTTGCTAAATCAATGAGATACACGCCCATAAACAGAAAGTATTGAAGCTGTTTTTTCTTATTCAACATGTTTGCATATTTTTTTTGCCAACTTTGAACTCTCATAGCTTCTTCATTATTTGTCCGGTTTGCTTGATTTTTTTTCAGCATGTAGTTCACAATTTAACATACTGTTTACACTATTTTATGCTATTTTTGATTGTATATTCATAAAGATGCATGCCTCTAAATAGGGGGTATTAAAGTTGTTTTTTTTTAACTTACACTTATTTTGTAATAGATCCTACATATGCTCGAGATGTTGTGTCCCCCGTAGAAGAAGATTTCAACAAAACCTATGACACATCGTTTTTTTTACAGAAATATGCGATGTGTACAAACACATTAGGGATTAGGTGTCAACTCCCCAAATTTTCTTGAATGAGAAGGATATGATTGAGAAATACGATAAGTATCGGGATGACCTTGAAAAATTAAACGACTTTTGGTACTTTGTGGCCGTAATAGATCCACAGTTGAAGTTTGAGTTTCTTCAACAAGCCTTTGAGAAGTTGATTAAGTTAAAGAATATCGGAGAACCTCCCATATTCAACTCGGAAGTCGCTTTGAAGGGTAAGGCCTTAATACGAGATATTGAAAAAAAGATTTGAGAAATTTTTTAATTTCTACAAAGCAAAGTTTGAAAATATCAAGTCTTCGCAAAGTCAAACACATGCTCATGAAGATGTAGTTATGCTTGATGATGAGAATGACTTCATGGGCGATTTAATAGTACAAGTAGATTACCCATCGACATCAACAGAAACGGAGTTGACATGATACTTAAACGAGCGGTCACTTAAATACAATAAAGATTTTGATATTCTACTTTGGTGGAAACAAAATGCATCTCTTTATCCTATTCTATCTTGTATGGAGAAAGATATAACTTTATTTATTTGTATACTTTTTTATAATTATATTTTAACACTTTGCTTCTTTATGTTGATAGATATTTTGGGACTACAAATTTCTACATTTACGTCCGAGGCGACTTTTAGTACAAAGTGGGCGGGTATTAGATCCATACCGAACAAATTTGTCCGCAAATATATTAGAGGCTTTGGTTTGAACCAAAAATTGGCTAAGGAAATCAAGAAATACAATTATGGATAACATTGATGAAGTTTTGAAAGACAATGACACCGCGAAAGTGTTGGAAAATGCGATAAACAATGAAGGTGGAAAAGAAAAACAACCAATCAATATTCTTGAATAGTTAATTTGTATTTGGTCATTGTTATATTGGAAAAAAAAATAAGATTAATATTTTAATTTGGATGTTTAATGCTTAATGTTTAAATATGAATTATGGATTTTTGGAATATGAATTATCAATGTTTAATATATTTTTTTATTGAACTAGATATAGAATTTCTTTATTTAGGTTATTCTGTTCATTTTGGTTTATTTGAGTTATTTGGGTCATTTCGGTTCAAAAGCATAGTGTACATGTTATTTTGGTCCTTTCGGGTTAATAACCAAACCTAAACTTGTACTACCCGAACCGAACCGGTCCCGTATTAGTATAATTGGCCCGGGTTTCGGTTCCAACTTTTCATCCAATTCGGGTTTCAGGTTATTCGGGTCCAGTCCGGTTCGGGTCGGTTCCTGTCCGAAGCACATCCCTAATTTACACATTGTGGATCTCAGGATCTGCATTCATTAGAGTTCTTATTTGTGTCATTGTAAATAGAGTGTTGAAGGGTGGCTATAAAATCCAGCCATGACTTCTTTGACACTGTAAATCTTTTTTTTGGTTCAAAAAAAAAAACGTTGTAGTGTGTTTCATTTGTGTTAGAGATTTCGGTTTGTATAACTTTTGTAAATTAATCTTCAAATTAATCTTTGTTTTCTTGTTCAAACCTGATTCTCTTTATAGGTTTGTTGTTTTTATAGCAACATAAATCAAAATGTAAACAATTATTTATGTATAGGAAATACTCTTATAGAAAACATAAAGAACACATGTACAAACTTAGGGGTGAGCATGGTGCGGTTTGGTGCGGTTTTAGGGCCAAACCGAACCGCAAACCAAAAGGTGATGTTTTTGTATTCTAGAAACCGTTGGGTGCGGTTTTTCAGTGGTCCGGTTTTGCGGTTTTTAGTGCGGTTTCGGTTTGTATTGGTTCGGTGTCGGTTTTAAACCGAGTCAAACATATGGTGCAGTTTTTTATGTTCGTCGATACCCTTTTTTTTTACCGTGATGTTCATGTGAAGATTTATGATTGTCTGTCATGGTGCCGTTTCGTTTCCTCACATTTAGAAGCCGAAATCTTGAGTTTTTTTTTTTTTGTTGTTTACTCGATAACTTCATTTTCAACCCATATTCCCAAGATCGTTCTATTATTCAATTTGCACTTACAAGTTACAAGCTTGCAAGTTGTAGCCTACATAGTATTTTTATTTTACACGTAATCATTACGTCACAAACACAAAACACAAAGTGACAATAGATCAAACCTAATAGCTAATTACTAATTACCGTCAAGTTCAATATATAATATATGTATAAATTAGAATTTATTAGTTTTTTAAATAATATGTATAATTGTATATAATTTAAATTAGTGATTTATTTTATTGTTTATAAGTTTTAGTGCGGTTCGGTTTTGGTGGTCCGGTTTCTAAATAAAAACTCCACCGCACCAATAAATTTGGTTTTTCAAAAAATAAAATCCGCACCATCGGTTTTTGCATTGGTTTTGGTTTCTCGGTTGCGGTTTGTTGCGGTTTTAGCGTTTTTTTCTTTTATCGGTTCGGTTTTGGCTCACCCTACTACAAAGCATGAACCTTCATCAACAACATTAACGCCGGCTAAAGTTATCGGCTCTTATTCTTTTACACTTCAATTCCCTGAAAAGAATCGAAACATGAAAATATAGTGACATTCATCTATAATCCCTGTAATTTCCATCCTTCTGTTGTTTGCAAACAAAATTCTACAAAATAATTAAGTAAAATTACTTTCTTGAAAATCTGCTGCAGGCAAAGATGACCTTTAATCCAATTTTTTTATGGTTTAAACTTTTTTCTTGAAAAAACCATGCAAGGACCATTTTTGCAGTTTTTTCTTATATTAGTCAGATATTTTTCTTAAATGTTTTGGTCAACGTCAACCGACTCTATTGTCAATGCGGTGGTCTCAATGTCTCAAAAGAAAATCATTTACATATTCAACAAATGTCTTTCCTGCTGTTCTGTTCTTGCTTATCTGCACGTCAACACTCCAATCATCTTTTCAATATTTAGTAATCTTATATGTCTCTTATTCAAGAATTCAACCACCTTAAAATTTCACATGACGCCATCAAATTAGCCACAGAAAACTTTTCCGACAATAATTTCATAGGTCAGGGTGGATTTGGGAGGGTGTACAAGGGTCAACTCCCAGTCGTCTCCGCCTCTTCCACCAGGCCATCCACCACCGTCGCTGTAAAAAGGTTGGACGAGAAGTGCGGGCAGGGACAAAAAGAGTTCTTGATGGAGATCGTGATGCTCTCAAGTTACAAACACGAGAATCTCGTCTCTCTTGTTGGATTCTGTGATGAAGGTGATGAAAAGATCATTGTGTATGAGCATGAGATTCATGGAAGCCTCGATAATCACTTAAACACTGATCTTACATGGGCGCAAAGGATTCATATATGTCTTGGTGCAGCTCGAGGATTAAATTACCTGCATAATGATGTAGGAGAGGGGCACAGGGTGCTACACCGTGACCTAAAGAGCTCAAATGTTTTGTTGGATGAGAATTGGAATGCAAAGATTTCTGATTTTGGGTTGTCTAAAATAGGCCCCACAAACCAGGCGTTTACTTTTCTTGTCACCAATGCTGCTGGAACATTAGGGTATGTTGATCCATTATATGTATCAACCGGAGTACTTACAAAAGAATCTGACGTGTATTCTTTTGGTGCGATACTCTTTGAAGTGTTATGTGGAAGGCTAGCTGTTATTGGAAAATATGATGACGAACGTAGGTTCTTATCTCACTTGGCGCAACTTTGTTATGAAGATGGAAAGATAGATGAAATTGTTTTTCCAAATATAAGGAAACAAGTGAAACCAAATTCATTGCAAACATTTTCTAGAATTGCTTATCAGTGCCTCAATATAGATCGGAAACAACGTCCAACAATGGCAGTGGTTATCAAACAACTACAAATCTCGTTGGAATTTCAAATCGTAAGTTATTGTTCCCTGGAAATTAGGTTGAAGATCTTTTCTTAGAAAGAAAATGTGAATATACTTTTGTAGAATTTTGAAATGTCAACCTACTTTCATTTGAGTATAATCGTAAGTTATTGTTCTTGGAAAATTAGGTTAAAGATTTGTCGTAAGAAATTTTAAAATTAAAATGCTATAATTTTTTAGATTTCATTATACAATGCCTCAATTATGATGCTATGATACACATATAAATGAAAGTAGGTTGACATTTTTTTTTTGCATTTTGGATTCTTCTCTTTAACTTGTTACTCTTTTAGCTTGTTTAGGCATGATTATGTTTAAACTTATACTATCATCTCCCCCTATCCTATGATTAATAGCCATGAGAATTTCTTTTGGCATTGAGTTGCAATCATTTCATTTATAGTTTTATACAGAAAATATTTATTTATTTCTTCTTCTTGCAGGGTCAGCAACGATTTTCACAAGCTGAAAGAGACCATAGAGAAAAGAATAACTTGATGTATCGTACTTCCAAAGTATTTTTTTCTGTAATGAAAAATCTCTTTTTGTTCGGTGAGAAGAATGATCATGAGTATGACTCTAATAGGGTGAATAGTGATAGATCTGATGATGGAGGTGATTCATACTTAGAAGGTAACAAACACAATTATGAAAACATTAAATGCAAGATAATTCAAATAGAAATATACTTTCATATATTTGTGTATTACAACATCCTACCTTCATTTCTTTCCATTAATGTATCATTGTGTTTTCGGATTCTTTTCCTTATTACGCAACCTACTTTGGAAAAATTTCAGAATTATAGACGACATTGCTATAATTGAATATTTTTCATATCACAATGTGGTAATAGGAAGAAATAAAAGTCCGATCATATAATAAACAAATGAATGAAAGCACATTGTTATTTCTTGCATTTAATCCTTATGCCATTGCTATAACTAGTTATGTTTTCCAATAGATCGCCCAGGAATAAAAGAGTTCCAAATAACTGGGGATGCAAAACCTGGAGGTAAACTTTTTAGGGTGTGGATTTTCGGTGCATGGGACCTCACGATGCAAGTTTCAGGTATATAAGCTTCTAGAAGCTAAAAAATTTGCATATAAAATAAGAATATAACATTAACTATGAAGAGATTGATATTATTAATTATTATATATTTATTTATATTCCTTTATTTCAGTGGGTTCGTCACCTTCTAGATGGGACTTGGGAGGAAGTTGAGGGTAAGTATTTAAAATTAAAATTATTTTGCTAAATGCAATAAATAGTAATTAGTAATTACATTTTTACTTGAATGCCCCAAGATGTAAACAATACTTTAACAAGTTGATATGTTTAAGGATATAAAGATGGACCCCTATATATGTATTATACATATTTATGACACTAAGTGTGTATTTTGTTAAAGGCTAAATGCAAGAAATAGCATTAATTTGGCCATTTTGGGTATTATAGCATTATAACTTCATTTTATTGTATTACAATATTTTACTTTGAAGAATCTGTGCAATTGTAGCATTGTACTTTTAATTGTTTTCTTATTCAAACATTATACTTTGAAAAATATACCCAATTATTTTCTTATTCAAATTAAGTATAATGTTGTAATAAGAAGAAATGAATGTAGAATGCTATAATGAACAAATCAATGAAAATACTTTGTTGTTTCTTGCATTTAACCCTTTTTAAAAGGGTATGAAATTTCTAATGCACACAAATTGATTAATTCTCATGTATTATAGCATTTTACGTTTCCTATTACAAGATTATACTTTGGAAAATCCACCGATTTTTAGCATTTTTTTATTAGATATTTATACTTGATTACTTAGAAAAATTTACCAAGAAAATCTCCTTGTATATGTATATGACATTGCTATGATTTAGTAGATTTTTCAAAGTACAATATTTTAATAGAAAGAATCAATGAAATTACATTTATGTTTCTTGCATTTAATCCTTTTTCTCAAAAGGGTAAAAAAGGTAATTCATTCCAAATTTTCTACAGGAGCCATAAAACCAGAGTATCTAGTTACAGCTGATGATGTTGATAAGCTTATTGGTGTTGAATGCATACCAATGGATGATCATGGTCGAAAGGTAAAAAAAATATTCAAACCTATAATTTTTAAATTCAAAATCTATACCAACTTTTAATTTTTTTTAGCTTGATATATAATATAATGTATATATACAAAACTAAATGAAAAAGTAATCTTCTATTAAGTTAATATAATCAATTAATCATCAACTTTTCTTTCTAATTGAATAGCTTTAATCCACATGTAATTTAAATTGTTGTTTTTGAAAAATAATTCTTCATAGTTTAATACTAACACCTTTATGTTGGTTCTGTTTTATTTTTTTATAAATAATGATAATACATTAAATATGATTAATAAATTATATTATCAAAGTAATAGTCTAAAACTTTGAGAAACTTTGTTGTTTTCAGGGGGAAGTAGTCCGAGTTTTTGCCAATGAGCAGACCAAGATAATGTGTGGTAAGTTAACCAACCTCATTAACAAGGTTAAATTGGTAATTTTGACGAATAATTTATTAAAAATTAAAAGTTTGTGTTTTTATCTTTTAATTTTTTTGAAATATGATAATTCACAGATCCAAAAATGCAACAAGAAATAGACAAATATATGGCAGCTGGTCAAGCATCATTTATTACTTTACTTCTGGTGAATTTTCTTTTTTCTTATTGACTTTAAGTCCTAACTTTTTACAAATTTGCCCTCATTTATTTTTGTATCTTTATTTATTTGTGTATAATAATATCCAAGTTCCTGCTTTCATTTATTTCCATTACAACATTGTACTTTCACATTTTTTGTTATAAAAAATTTGACACAATTAATACCATTCTACTTCCAAATTTCTTTCTCATTAGGGCATTATACTTTCTAAAATCACCCTATTTTAGCATTGAAAAAACGTTTTGTATATTGATTGCATTGCTATAATTGGTATTTCTTTTCAAACTACAATGTTCTAATAGCATGAAATGAAAGTATATTGGCCAATTTGCCCTTGGAAGTTTTTGACTTGCAAAATTGGAATAAATTGACCAATTTGCTCTTAGAAGTTTTGTTAAATTTAAGGTTTTTCTTTAACCCAAGTATGTCATAAAACTTGAGAGTGATTTTGCAGATGGATTCTTCTGAAAATTGGGAGCAAACAACTTTCACTTTAAAGCGATCGAATTATCAAGTAAAGATCAATCAGACACAAGAGATTTTCATCCAAGGCAAATATACCAATGATGTATCGGTATGTGAAATAAATATATTTTCATTTTTTTATATACTTTAAAGATGTATTTTAATATTTGACTATTTGACTTTCGAAATATATTTGGCTTCTACTTTCTATTGCAAGCAAATCATTGTTTCTTGAAAAGGAAATTGAACAAGCGATTTTGAACAAAATATATTCAAAATGTAACGTAATGGCCTAAAAAGTAGATACCTTCTTACCTTTTAGTCAAATGTCCAAAATACCCTTCAACAATGAAAAAAGTTAGGGAATCTTTGATCTTTCGTAATGATTATGGTGTATGAATAAGTAAATTTTAACTTGGAAAGTTTCCAAAAATAGAGATTGCTCCAATTTTCATGGGAAAGATGGAGCATTAAATTAAAAAATGTGTGATCCAATCTCTAGTCTATGCAAAAGACGTAAATGCCCCCATCATCTATTATTATTAAAAATAGCCCTAAAAAGCTTAAGATTTTGCAGATTGTTAATGATTTTGATAAATTGTCATATATCTCTTTCTTATAATGTTTTTGCAGATAAAGATTCCTTCAGGGCTTACTACACAATTTGTGTTGACATATTCGGATGGATCTTCACACCCTTTTAATACATTCCATGATGTTAGGTAAAATATTTTTACTTCATGTTTTATTTTATATAGTGTTTTACTTATTACAAACAAAGAGATGAAACTCTTTGACTTTTGAGGTCAAACAAACTTCTTTTCAGATTCGAAATTTATATCATCTATTTTTTATATCAAATTTCGTGGTAGAATTGATGCCTAGTTGCCTACACTAAGGTTTATGAAAACTACAACAAACAAAAAATAATGTTGATGCAAGTTAGTGACAAATGCATGTAAAAATTTGAATTTGGAAGTTTTGTTACAAATACATTTTTTGACCTCAAAAGTCAAAATGTACCACTTTTCCCCTTCAACTTTAATAATATTAAACGATTTCTTGGGGGCTTTGGTTTATGGATCAATCTTTTTGTTGTCAACAAGATATCATTGTATTGTATTTTTTTGGGGCTAAATGAAAGAAATAGTAATGTAATTTCATTTTTTTCTATTTAATAGCATCCGATTTTTGTTTATTTCTATTATTATACATTCAGTTTATATCTTAATAAGCATTGTACTCTGAAAAATTTACCTGAATATAACATTGTAATTATTTTTTAATATATTTTTATACTTTTTTCTATAAGGACATTGCAATTTGAGAAATCTATTCAATTGTAGCAGTGAAAAGTGTTTTGTATTTAGATGACATTGCTATATTGAGTATATTTTATTAAAGTGCAAAAATATAATAGGAAGAAATGAAAGTAAAATGTTATAATACACTAATCAATAAATGTTTATTGCTATTTCTTGGATTTAACCACTTTCTTTATTGCAGAATGCGTGATACATTGGTGCTCACCATGATAATGTTCCAAAGCAAGGTATCTTCCAAGTTCTTATCATTCTCAAATTTTTGCCCCATTTTTGACAATTTCTATATGGTTCTATATTGACTTTCCAAAAAGGGAAAATTATTTGACTCAGTTCCACCTCTCCTGTTTCTTTCTTTGAAACAGGCATTGGATGAAAGAAGGAATGCAAGAGGATGAAACTTTTATTCTTCGATATAGATACAAGTAATATATATATATATATATATATATATATATATATATATATATATATATATATATATATATACTCATTCTTTGTAGAAATGAAGTAAAGAACAATAAGACTATTGTAGAAGGTTTTGTTGTTTATATTCTAATCAATGAGTGAGAGTGAAAACAATGGTGTGTTGATTTACATTGTTCTTATTATTTGCGAAATATTTCAACCATATATTTCGCATAATTATGTTGTATATTTTGTATTTACTGTACATTATATGTTCCTTATTTAGCTCTCTAGGTGATTAGACTTTCCTCAATTATCCCTTTGTAATCCTGTATATATATTGGCTCATATCAATGAAATAGGCATTGAATCTCAAACACTGACATGGTATCAGAGCCAAGGGCTCAATACCAGAATTGATTCCTTCTCACAGCTACGGCTGTGCAGCCTCCTTCTGTTTCATTTTTTTCCAGATCTGTATTAGCTTCTTTCATCATGTCCGGTACAAATGAAACAAACCCTACTTAGGAAATCCATCCGGTTTACACCGTTACCAACATACAAACCAAAGTGAGAGTTTTTGATGGCACCAAGCTCACGTATTCATCTTGGGTTCGACTGTTCAAACTTCACGCAAAAGGCTACAAAGTTTTGTCCCATATTGACGGAATAGCATCCCCAGCAAAGACAGATCCAATGTATGACACTTGGTTAGAAATTGATGCTATTGTTCTCCAGTGGATCTATGGGACCATATCCAATGTTCTCCTTGGTCAGGTCCTTGATCTGGACTTTACTGCATATGACGCCTGGTCCAAACTTCAGAACATCTTCTTCAATAACAAGGGTTCTCGGGCATCAACCCTAGAACATGAGTTCAACAACTTGACTCTTCGAGCAATGACATCCCTTGAAGCGTACTGTCGGCGGCTAAAGGACCTCTTAGGTCAACTTAACGATGTGGAGTGCCCAGTTAATGAAAAATGTCTCGTATTGCAACTGGTTCGTTGCTTGCCCTCGGAGTTTGACACAGTGGCAACATACATCAATCAGACATCTCCCACATGGGATAATGCATGCTCGATGTTACAACTCGAGAATCAAAGACAATGTGCCCAAGAAACTCACTCACCTATGGAGGTCACCGCTACTGTTGATCATGAACCACAATCGAACGCTCAGCCAAGACGTGGGGACATTGCCAACAAAGGTCGTCCATCCCATCCACGTAACTCAAATCGTCGTTTTTCATCATCATCTAGTTCTCAAAACAGGGAAAACCAAGCACCTACTAGTCGCCTACAAGCTATGAACCAGAACAATCCGCGTAGTCTTCATCCTGGCCAGAATCGCCCCCCAAGGTCCACTTACCCGCCTCCTTATTGGGCTGCTCCTTGGTGGGCTTCACCACCACCATGCCCGTATCCTACTCAGCCTAGTTGGGGGTCACCTTGGCTCGCACCTCCCACATAGCAGCAGCAAGGCCGGCCACCACCAGCCCATCTTGCAGAAGTAAACCCACTAGAACCATCAGAACTCGGGGAAGCTTTTTCGGGAATGACTTTGGACCCAAACGATGACCAGTGGTACATGGATTCGGGAGCAACCACCCATCTTACCGGAGATGCAGGTAAAATCTCAATTCCAAGTGTGTCTTCTATAAAATCAGTATTTGTGGGAAATGGTAAACAAGTGCCAGTAATTGGATCAAGTTACTCCCTTTTACCAAACCCACATAAACCATTTCATCTCAAAAACATTCTTCACACACCCAAAGTCATCAAAAATCTAATATATGTACGTCAATTTTTTCGAACTAATAGTTTATCTGTTGAATTTGATTCCTATGTTTTTTCTTTAAAGGACTTCAACACTGGGAAGCTCTTGACGAGGCACAATAGCGATGGTGACCTCTCCCCCTTCACGAATCAAGAAACAGCTCCAGCTTTATCCTGTTTTATTTCATCTAGTTCATCTTCTTGGCATTCTAGACTACGTCATCCAGGACATTCTGTAATGGATTTTCTTTGTTCAAATAAACGTATCTCTTGCAATAAAATTTATTGTTCTTTTGTTTGTCAATCTTGTCAAATTGCTAAGCACAAACGCTTACCATTTACTGACTCCACATCCAACACAATAAAACCCTTTGACCTTGTCCATGCCGACTTGTGGACATCACCAATCCGAAGCAATAGTGGTTTTAAATATTACCTCATTCTAATTGATGTTGTCACCCATTTTATATGGGTGTTTCCGCTCAAATACAAATCTGAAACCCATGAAAAGATAACACATTTTTACAAACACATACAAACTCAATTCAACACTACCTTTAAAACTCTCCAATGTGACAAAGGGGGAGAATTTGACAACCACCAACTTCATCATTTTGCATCTACTATCGGTCTTCATATCAATTTTTGTTGCCCTCGCACTTCCCAACAAAACGGAACAGCCGAACGCATGATTCGTCGTACCAACGAACTCATGTTATCTCTTTTAACCCACGCCTCTCTACCACCTTCCTTTTGGGTCGACGCCTTTCACACTGCCACTTATCTTCACAACATCCTACCCACCAAAATACTTCATAACCATACCCCAAACTACGTCCTCTATCTAAAAAATCCCACATACAACCATCTAGGGAGTTTTGGTTACGCTTGTTACCCCAATCTTAACTGCACACGCCAACACAAACTCTCCCCACGATCTATTCCTTGTGTTTTTCTTTGTTACCCAGCCCAATACCAAGGTTATCGCTGCTTTGACATATCTACGGGTAAAATTATCCTCTCGCGCCATGTCACCTTTGATAGAAATACTTTCCATACGCCAATACCACACCTACACAACCACATAACTACTCTTTCCTTGAGACTGACCCATCCCCAATTATTTACCAACCAAACATCACAAATAACCAACCTATTATCCCAGCCGATCCAATACCGCCAACTTCACCACCACCAACCACCTCACCACCATCTATCACCTCTCCACACCAGCCTACTCCGATTGAACCCTCCTCTTCCACTCCCAATCATTACTCACTCATCTACTCTCGCCGAAACCCACAACAACAATCCACCCAACCACCACCAAGTTTTCAACACCCAATGACAACCCGATCTCGATCTGGTATCACAAAACCAACCAAACCATTTAACCTTCATACCACCACAAACCATAAAATCATATCCCCACTTCCAAAATCCTACAAATATGCCTTATCTGATCCAAATTGGCACTCTGCAATGACTAATGAATATCAGGCTTTAATAGACATCAACACATGGAATTATTACCAAGACCCAACAATGCTAATGTTATACGTTGCATGTGGATTTACCATCATAAATTTCACGCTAACGGGAATCTTGAGAGATACAAAGCATGCTTAGTCATCAATGGCAAATCTCAACAAATTGAAATAGACTGTCATGAAACATTCAGTCCCGTCGTGAAACCTACCACAATTTGGACCATTCGTAGTCTTGTTGTATCACGATCATGGCGTGTTCATCAACTCAATGTAAAGAACGCCTTCTTACATGGGACCTCAAAGAAACCGTGTATATGTTCCAGCCTCCCGGATTTGTAGACAAGCAAAACCCAACACATGTATGTCGATTACAAAAATCATTGTATGAGCTCAAGCAAGCACCACGGGCATGGTATCATCGGTTTGCAACTTATATTTAAACATGTGGTTTCAAAAGCACTAACAGTGACACTTCTCTATTTGTATTCATGTCCATTGTTAGAATTGAGCAATGTGAAACTCCCAAATTGGCTGCTAACCGATGAACAGATCCGTTGAAAAACACTTATGAGCAGTCGCTAAGGATATGGTAGCAAGGAAAATTTTGTGGGAGCCCGATTGGTTTCCAAATTGTTTCACACTGTAAATCTCAACCTAAATCACATCAAAAAGTGGTAATAATTAGTTCAAGATATAGCTATCGGTTAATACATATAATATTTGGAAATTGAGAAATCTAACCATTATAATTTTTAGAATAACCATTATTTTTCAGTTTTTGAAAAATAACCACTTTTTCCGGAATATATTGGGGATTTTTTTTCAGAAAATCTCTACCTAACCGAATTATTTATTTTGAAGTGTTTAATGTTATCGCTTTTCAATAAAATGTCTGATTTTATACACCATACATGAGCTGACTATATTTCAAAGATATGAAAATTCCGGATATCGGATATAGATATCCAATTTGTTGACATTTTTTAACGAGCAAAAAAATACAACATTTTTGAATAACATAATCCGTAAAAGAAATTTTGTTGATAGAATTTCGATAGCAATATCTATCAAAAAATTATGGATATCCAGTTTTGAACAGACTAATCTATATTCATATCGTCTCACAGTCATAAACACAAACACATAGTGCATTACAAATATGTCTTATGTATGTTTCAAAACATTAAGCAGCCACCTCTAACAATAAAACCTAATATTGATCTCTTTTGAGGTTCTATTCGTATAGCAGAACCTTTGATATCAGATTCTTCTTCTCTCATCAAATTGATGGAATCTGGTGTTAGCTCTAGTTATTTCAGTTAGACAGTTAGAGGGGTAGATTAGTCTTTTATTTAAAAGTTTGTTAAATAGTTGCTAGTCTTAACTGATTGTTAAGATTATATATATATATATATATATATATATATATATATATATATATATATATATATATATATATATATATATATATAGATAGGAGTAGGATCAATTGAGAACACCAAAAAGGTTGAGAACGCGAGAACACATCTGATCCATATAAATATTCAAATCTAAGGCTATTATCAAACGGGTAATTTATGTTAATTCTAAAACTATTTGTAGTAAAGTGTAACTTTTAAAATGGCATAAGGGTATAATAGTAATTGAAATTTAGGTCAATCCTATAATTTTTCATTCTCACTCTTATTTCCATTTACGTATCCCTCTTCATCCTCTCTCTCTCTCTCTCCCTCTCTCTCTCTCTCCCTAGGGTTGAATCAGTTCACCGCCTCCATCATCTGCACCTTCAATTTTCATAGCCACAAGGGTCGCCAGAGAATCGACGCCCTTCCTTCCCCTCTTCCCTCTGTCTCTTCAACCTCTTCGAACCCCGGAGACGATCGCAATCGGACACAACATCCTGAATATCGGACAGCACACCTGCGATGCGAGCCTTTCTTCCCTTCCTGTCGCCCTATTGTTGTCGTCGCTGGTGAGCCTTCACACCCTCTGCCCCTTTGACTTCCACCATCGCCAACTCCATCGAAGGCCAAGAGACCGCCTCGATTTCTCGTAAGCCCCAGGACTTGCAACCCGATTCAGGGCTTGCAATCCCTATACCTAGGGCACGTCTCTATCTTTCAGCCGCTTCGAATCAAACCCTCCTACCGTCATTGTCAACCTTTCTATCGGTGTCATTATCTCCATAGTAATCAGAAACTTATGCCGCCATCAACGACATTGTCAACATCGTTTCAGATAAGCTTTAATTCGTGTTACTCTTCTTCTAGTTCATGTTTCGATTTTTCTGATGCTATTTTCGTAATTTTTGATATTATTTTCACAATTTGTTGTTATTAAAATTATAACTGATTCATAAATGATTATGAGGAAGATGCACTAAAACCCAATTGGGATTTACTGTTATTAAAATTATATTGAGGTGGTTTGGCGATCACAAGTGAGGATTTTGGGTTTGAATTGGGATTTTTGGGCGATGCACTAAAACCCAATTGGAAATTTCATTGGGATTTAAATTGTTTATTTTTACTTATTACAAACAGAAGTGAATAATGATCTGACTGTTTGAATCTGAAACTGTTAGTCGATCAACATGATGTGAATTAGGTCGACGATAGTATGCTTGAAATGAGAGTAAAAGAAAATTTCATATTCCTTTTTGATGTTTCTTCCCTTTTTATCAATCTGTTTACTGTTATCTGGAAAATCAACTTGCTCTTAGTTTGAAACGGATGAAATAATGATTCCTATTTAGCTAATACGATTCATCTGTTCAACTTCCAATTTCAAGTTTATATTGTTGTTTCTTCTACATTAATCGTGTTCATAACTTTCTCTTCCACAGGGAATGTCATATCTTTCGGCCTGTTTATTTCTCCCGCGTAAGTCCCTTTCCTTTTGATTAATGTTATTATGTATTCATTCATTATTAAATTTATTATACTTAATTTCATTGATTGGTTGTAGGTTCTATTCATACATGAATATAGCTCTATTCACACATGAATATAGTTTTATTTATATATTTTTATGTATTTTATATTTTGTTCATGTTTGAACATGTTTTTTCTAAATCTTTTTCATTTAGTTAATTGTTAATTGTATTTATTTCTTTATTTAATGTCATATCTTTCGGCCTGTTGATCTCTCCCGCGTAAGTCCCTTTCCTTTTGATTAATGTTATTATGTATTCATTCATTATTAA